GACAGTTTCTATTATGTTTTCATGTTGACTGATATTTTTTTCACCAGCTATTAATCTTGTATTAAGCGTATTCAAATACTGTGTTTTTTAGTTCTTGAAAGATTTTTATGTCATCCATTTCTAGTGTCATTGTGTCCATGTTTTCCTTTAAATCCTTGAGAATAATTGTAATAGCAATTTAAGAGCCCTTGTTGCTAATTTTATTATTCCTGCCATTTCATCCACTGATGAATTTTTCTGAAAGTTATGCGTCATGTTCCTCAGAATCATCACATGTCCAGTAATTTTTGATTGGATGCTGGACATGCAGTTCTAGATTTTGTTGTTTTCCTTTATAGAGAACTTACTCTGGCTGTTGTTTCAGCGACTTGTGGATCATATTTGTTCTTCAGAGGCTTGTTTTTAATCTTTGTTAGGGGTAATCTAGGGTACATTTTACTCTGTGGCTAGTTTCGTCCTAAAACTGAAGCATGGTTCTTCTCTGATCTCTACTGAATGTCCCAGGGGACCAATCAGGACTCTTTACCTCTTTACTCTTGCTTGTCAAATCATGAACATCTCCCAGCCCTTTGTAAGATTGGCCATTTTATTTTTGCCTGGCTTAGTGGTCTTTCATGCTATACACTTGGCTTATCCTATATAATAAAGAGGTAATATGCAAATTGACTGTCATGCCCATGCACAAGATGGCCACCCCCATGTGGGCACAAGATGGCTGGCAGGAGAGGGCAGTTAGGGGCGACCAGGTCAGCAGGGGAGGGCAGTCAGGGGTGCCCAGGCTGGCAGGGGAGGGCAGTTAGGGGCAACTTGGCTGGCAGCGGAGGGAAGTTAGGGTTGACTGGGCTGGCAGAGGAGGGCAGTTAGGGGCAACTGGGCTGGCAGGACCAGCAGGGGAGGGCAGTTGGGGGCGATCAGGCTGGCAGGGGAGCAGTTAGGCATCAATCTGGCTGACAGGGGAGTGGTTAGGGGGTGATCAGCTGCAGGCAGAAGCGGTTAGGGGCAATCAGGCAGGCAGGCAGGCAGGCGAGTGGTTGGGAGCCAGCAGTCCCAGATTGTGAGAGGGATGTCCCAGATTGGAGCGGGTGCAGGCTGGGCTGAGGGACAACACCCCCCCCCCCCAGTGCACGAATTTTGTGCACCGGGGCTCTAGTTGTTCAATAACAGACCCACAGATTCATTTATATCGTTCTCTGCAGAGCTTCCTCTTGTTTGATACTCCACTCCATAAATTATAGTTGCTTCAACTCTCTAAACCAGGGGTCCTCAAACTATGGCCCACGGGCCACATGTGCAAATACAAATATTGTATTTGTTCCCATTTTGTTTTTTTACTTCAAAATAAGATATGTGCAGTGTGCATAGGAATTTGTTCATAGTTTTTTTTTTTTTAAACTATAGTCTGGCCCTCCAATGGTCTGAGGGACAGTGAACTGGCCCCCTGTTTAAAAAGTTTGAGGACCCCTGCTCTAAACTTTGATAGTATCTCCTCAGCTCAGAGTGTCAGTGCTATGCTTGGGTTACTGCTTTCTGTATTATGATCTGAAAAGTGCCCCCAGGAAGAAAGCTGAGTCAATTGCAGGAATAGAGAGCTTATCTCTCCCTCAACCAACAGAAAGGGGCAGAACTGCAGTCAGTTCTGTAGATACAGGATTAATTTGGTAAAACCCAAGTCCTGTGGCATTTTGGGAAAAAGAAATAGCTCATCTTTTTTCCCCCCTCTAAATCATACCAGAAAAGGTAATAGACAAAGGTAGTCATCTTTTGAAGGGAGCATTTGTTAGATACAAGATTTTCACCTCTCCCCCTTTACCATTATTGCCAATTAATGGCAGACCCAAATGTAACCTACGAATGGGAACATAACAATGTAAAGCTTCATACAGCTCTTGTAACAATTATAACTGAATAGAGAATACATATGATTAGCCCCTGGGCATGAGGGGCACTGTTTAAAGGCAGGGCTTTCACGCTTACAGGGTGGCAGATACCCTACATGTTTCTGCTGCACCCTGTGACAGCTGTCTGAGATCTCAACATTTCCAAAGTTATCACAATGAACCGAGCATTCATAATACCCGAGAGCAGTTCTCACCCTGGAACATTCTAGCATCACCAGGGCATGCCTCTGGCCCACACCAATGAAGTCAGACGCTGGCAGTGGTGCTTGGCTATCAATATTTTTAGTAAAGACCTCAGGTGATTCTAAGGGGAAGCTAGATTTAAGGACCATTCTCTTAGACTGTTAGTCCACATGAAACTGGACAGCAGAGGAGAATATAGAGAGTTTTAATGGTTTTCCTGACCTTCTGCGTGGGCTCCTTTTGTCTCCCTTAACATTTTTTTTTGCCCTGTTTAAATCTACCCACCCCACTATGTCTGCATCACATTTCTTTTCTTGAGAATAATCCATCAATTCTGAAAATGAAATGCTCAAATGGGACATGCTCTACAGCCTAGGACTTTCTGGTGATTTAATTATCTAATTACTGAAGCCGGCTGCCAAGCACAAAAGATTTCATTCAATTTCACTATTTTATAACACAGTTCAAAGAACATTTGAACTTCTAATTCAATTTTTGTTCTTTTGAGACTATTCTACAGAGTTTCGCGTGTCTCTAATGACAACTCCATTACTGGACTTGTAATCACTCTGGGGTTGTCATTTATTTTTGGAGTATAGAATACATATGCTGACGGAGAAACTGGCGCTCAGATGGCTTAATTCTTCTGAACTCTTTTTGTCTTACGTAGACTCCCCTGACGGAAAAGACAGAGGCTTGACAGGAAGGAAAGTTAATGGAGACACAGAGGATACAAAGACTGAGGTAGAAGCGACAGCAGCCAGGCGAAGAGGCAAAGTGCTTCTCTTTCCTCATGTGTCTGCTCTTGAGAACTGCAAACACTTCTAAGCTCAAGAGCATGTCTGCACACTGTTCTTTACACCCCAAAGCCAGAAAAGCTGCGCAGTTCTGGGCAATAAAGGAACTTGTGTGGTTAAGACAGCATTCCCAGACCTTGACTAGAGAGCTGCTTTGTTTGAGAAGCTATGATTCTGCAACTGAGCCTCCACGGTTCAAGGGTTGAAAGGAGTGGCAAGCTGTGGGAGACTCCTTCCAGCCAGCCAGAGGACCAAACAATACCAGCCACCACCAGGGTGATGTCACAGCCACACACATCACAATCTTGGTATCAAATTTGCCACACTTCAGCGATGTTTCAGAAATTCCACCCCTGCCCTCAAACCAACAAATGTTCACTTTTGAAAGCACTACCATACAAACAATACATTTAAGAATATTTTCTCTTGAGTGTCCATTAGGGAAAGACAATTTCCAAATGGCCAGCAGGTGGCGCTACAAGGAAGGGGCAGTGTGAGAAGGGGCTTGTCCTCCATAAACCACAGGTAAGAACCTGGGGGGAGGACATACCCTCTCTGCTCTGCACAAGTGTTGTTTGGCTTGCAGAGTACCATTGGCCTTTAATTATTTTCCAACATTCTACAGATGAACACAGATATTTTACTTAAAAAACCCTGTATTTCCTGATTCTCTAGGGTTGCTGAAATGTCCAGGCACACTGACTGTAATACTGTCAGGTTAAGAGCTGGCTGGAATTGAGTGGTCACTGTGCTTAGAGGGGCCTCTTTGCCACTGTCCTTCCTCCACTTCACTTGTTGAGTTACTCTCGACACTGTGGGCACTGGACTTTGCCACCTGGCACACACCCTCAGCCCAACCCATACATTCATTTCATTGCAGAGTGTCTTTAAAATTGCAAAGCAAGGAGAAGCTAATGCAAAGGATGGGGAACTTCACAGACGACATGATTCATAAAAGTATTCAAATGAATTTGCATGGGACATCCAAGGTGTCTGGGACGTTGCCTGAGAGGCAGAGTCACCTTGGAGGCCTGAGTACAGAGCCATGCTGTCTGGTGTATCAGACTTTACAGTCCGTGACGGGGCCTCTCAAGCCAGCTGCCTTTCTGTTTATTCTCTGGCAGGTAGAATAAGGATAGAGTATCTTCTTGCCATAATGAGGTGGTGAAACATGTAGGGCTCATGCCTCTGTGAGCTGAAGCCCTTCCTTGTCAGACCTCCCTGGTTGAGGAGGCTACACCCCGCTGGCTACTGTGGATGCCACACCTGTGTGGCTGCGCCAGGCTCCTGGGCGGGTCTGTCTTTTACCAGTGTTTGAACTATGAACTCCTCAAAGTCAAGGAGGCTGCCTGGGGGTAGTCTGAGCCAGCTCTCTACCCTCAATGATCAACCTCCTACCGAAGGCAGGCGGCGTGAGGTTGATACATAAAGCAGACACATGATCTCATGAAGAGCGGCCCCGCCCAGCTCCTCAGTGCCCACAACCAGGAGATGCATTATTCAGCATGCGATTGGCTCACCGAGATTCGTGCCACAAAGGGTCATTTCCCCTCCCGTTTTGGTTCCCATAGAGTGCACACATTCCTCAATAATGGGAAAAGGTAAGGAAAATATTATGGGACACACTATCTAGATAGAATGCAGATGTTTTCTCCACAAGATCATCCATGATGGCTTCTTTTCCTTATGAATTAATCATCTAAATACCTCATAGGTCCTTGTAAAAAAAAAAAAAGCTCAGCTGACTGTCTCACCACTGGGCCTGCTCACTGGGGGGAAGCAAGGAGCCGGAACACTAAACAGGAAGTCGTCATTGGCTGTCATTATGCTCCATGGGGCTCCTGTGCTCTCAGCTCTCCTCGGAAAAACAGATGTTTAATGGGTTTTTCATGTGTAAAAGCACGCGGAGCTTAAAGAAGTGGCTATCCATTGACTACGGTTGCAGTGGAAGGTCTCGACCAAGATTATGTGTGTGAGGGAGGACACCGTGGCTCACCCTTAGGAGAGGATGGTGGAAAGAACCCTGGTGGGTGCTGCTGTGGGGCCAGGGGTGTGGGAGGCGGGGAAAGCTGACTTTGGGCAAATAAGACAGAAGACATTGTCCACAACGAACAGTCTGTACCTGGAGCTGTCGCATCTGCTGCAGCTGGAGCCGGAGCTCGGCCACATTCCGCCTCATGTCGAGCAGGCTCAGGTGGACGGCCGAGGTGCCGGCGGCCAGGGGCTGGCTGGGTGGCCCCAGGGACTCCAGGGCGCCGAGAGTCTTCCCACCAGAAACATGGGGAGTTCCTATGAGAAAAGAGCAGCAAAGACCCTAAGAAAGCCAGACAGGAATGGCGAAGTTAAGCTCCACCCCATCACAGACAACTTGACTCTAAAAATGCCCATTTCCTTCACTGTGAAAATTTAAAAAAAAATTATGCTGGTCCTCTATATGACAAAAGTAAGGAATTAAATTTAAATAAAGTATGGAAACCTCATGCCACATTGGAGCATGCGCTCTTTAACAATCATGTGCTAGAAACTTAGTGCCAAAGGGAGGCAGATCAGTGCAGTATCTAAAGCAGGAGGCCATGTGGGAAGCTGTCTGTCTGTCCACACAGCTTCTGTGGATGTATATAGGTGTGCAGAGGAAAGATCAGATGTATCTGGAACAAAGGATTAACAGTATGTCCGGCTGTTGGTATTCCATGAGGTTTATATTACTACTTTTTCTATTTTTAAATCTGCATAGTGAATCTCTGTAATTTTATAACAGAAAAATAAATTTAAAATTCTGGGACCTAACACAGGATCTCCGTGACTATTTCCTGCAGGCAGATGTACCCCAAGAACATGCCCTTAGTTCTGAGCAGAGATTGGGCCGATCACGAAGGGAAGACGAATGAGAACTGAGTTTCTTCTGAATCTTTTCAGCCCGAAAGCAGCAGGACCTCTGCCCTGGTCCCGACGGTGAGAAAAGCAGGCGCGATGCGAGAATTCTTTAGGAGAGGAAGCCAGGCAGCAGACACAGACTCTTCCTCCATAGTTCCTAGCTGCCATAAACGTTGGCTCCTGGAGTCCAACTCAAATAAAGCTCATTCACTTTATAAGTTCATCTGGGAAGAGCCTTATTTGACGAAGTTTGCTTTAAAAGGCCTCATAAAAGATCTCAAGTAACACAGGATGAGCAAGGTACAGGAATCAAAAGGAAGTGCTATTTATATATTGTTTAAAGATAACGAATGCAGTTCTCTGGAACAGGCCACCAGAGTAAAATCCTCACCACACCCACACCCACACCCACACCCACACCCACACCCACACCCATACCCACACCCACACGCACACTCACACCCACAGGCACACGCACACCCACACCCACACTCACTTCTGAAGGGGCTGGAAACTCTTTCCTGTAAAGGACAAAGTGGAGGGTGTGCCATGGGCCCGGCTGGCCTCCCACAGCAGAACCCTGGCATTCCTCTCCTGCCCTGGAATGGCTACAGCCAGTGGTGTCTCTTCCCATCTCAGCTCAGCACCCACGGGAACCTTGCCTTTCTCAGCACATGCAGGGCTGCTGCCCTGGTGGCTCTGATCAACTTTTGGCAGTCTCCTCACCCCCAAATCAAAATCACCCTCATAAAAGCAAGACTTGCTCCAATTACAATCTAGTCCCCGGTTAAGGGGCAATCCTATCACTGGACAGCAGGCAGTGAGTAGATGTCTATTTTAAACAACCAGTGAATCAACCCCTCTGGCAATGTTGGTGTACCTTTGGAAAGAAGGGAAGTGAATTATCAAGCACCACATGTTCATGTGGAGCATAACTTCACTAAATGGAGAAAATACTTGGTCTTCAACACACACACACACACACCTACCTATATAGAAATGATTAGTTTCATTCCTTGATCTGACCAAAGTTTTACCTTAAGTCCAGTCAGTAAGAGAACTGTGACTCTGCTTCTCCTTGCCTCCTGTCCAGGCTCCCTCTTAGACTCAACAATGACTAAGCGCAGGGGTCCTCAAACTACGGCCCGCGGGCCACATGCAAATACAAATATTGTATTTGTACCCGTTTTGTTTTTTTACTTCAAAATAAGATATGTGCAGTGTGCATAGGAATTTGTTCATAGTTTTTTTTAAACTATAGTCCGGCCCTCCAACGGTCTGAGGGACAGTGAACTGGCCCCCTGTTTAAAAAGTTTGAGGACCCCTGGACTAAGGCATCCACCTTAATAAAAGCACGACTGACATTCCTTATTTACAAAGACAAAAAATTAGAAACATCTGCAGCCTTTTCCAGATCTCATCTCTTGATCTGAAAACACTGCAGGTGGGTATTTTCTTCAGATACTCAAAGACTGAATCATAAGGTCTAAAGCAGTGGTTCTCAACCTTGGCTGCACATTAGAATCACCTGGGAATCTTTTTAAAATCCTGATTTCTGGGCCTCATCCTCCGGAAATTCTGTTTCTTTGTTATGAGGTGGGGCCACAACATAACAATATCTTTCACAACAAAGTTTCCTTATGGACTCTATACTCATTTCAAAAATTTCTTCATCTATAACTTCTTAACCCACTAAATTTGGTTTCTAATTCCATCGTTCACAGAAATGGCTCTTTATAAGGTGGGCAATGGTCGGCTGTCCACCCAACAGACGCCTCCTTGGTGTGATGCTGGGCGCCATCAGCCACCTCTTTCCTTTTCAGTCAATTTGAACTCTCCTGTCCCTTGTCTTCTTCCCTCTCCACTACTCCACCTTGGTCAATCTCCTTTCTAATGTCTTCCTTGGCCAACTTTAAAAAGCCTGGCCTGTTCTGTCCTGGGCCTGTTTCTTCTCTCACTGGACGTGCTTTCCAGGGAGGTCACTTCCTCCACCACCACCCGCCAAGGTCCCTCACATCTTTGTCTCCAGCATCCAATTCTCTTCAGGTCCGCATACCAGTACGTTCGTGTTGCTACAGGACTTTTCATCTTCCCAGACCTCTTTTTGTCTCTGTACATCTGACCTTAGCCAGTGGCACTATTATATACTCAGTTACTTCAATCAGAAACCTGGAAATCATCCTCAGCATCCACTTCCTAGTTGTGTGACCTTGGCAGGGTAACTCAACCTCTCTCCCTTTCAGTTTCCTCATCTGTAAAAGGTGTGGAAGGGTTATTGTGTGAGATAATGGAATTAACACATGTAAACTGCTTACTAGTAGCCCGGTGTCTGGCACAGAGGGACTCCCCACTGCAATCAGCTGTGATTATGTCTCTGAGCAGAGTGGGCTGGAAAAGCTTCTGCCAGCCTCCCCTCCTCCCCTGGAGTGTCACAGGGCCAGAGGCCGGGGGTGACAGCAGCAGGCTGAGAGCTGTAGGCAGGTGCCCTGAAATCCATGCACGGAGCTGGATTTGGTGAGTAGGGACCACGAGTGATAAGTTCCCCTTCAGATCAGTTCACGGGACCTGGGATCTGCTCACCACATCCACACGCAGGTGGTCACATTCTGCTCCCACCATGCACAGATGAATAAGGATTCATCGTGCAGTCTGTCCTCAGAAACACACTCCATTCTGTGCACGTCACCCTTACCAGGCAATGGCCTCCCTTCCTCCTCCCCAGTCACTGTTAGGTAATACACTTCAGTTGAGTGTATCTCACTATGAAATTTATTACATGCAAATTTAATGTACCCTGTGTGATAGAAAGAACCTGGGTTTGGGGACTGGCCAGACTGGCTGTGACTCTTACTAAGTGTGTGGCTAACATCTTTCTTACAGGGTTGTGTGTTAAATTATATAACACCCTGCATAAAATACAAAGTATGCCTTTGAAATGGGAGGTTCCTTCTGTTCTCTTATACCCACAGAATCACATATTCCTAAAGTAACAGGAAGTCTGGGTTTTCCTTTTCCTTTACTCTTGGACAAATGAGCTCCTTAGCTCCTATGTAATTCCATGTACTTGTCTACAGAACAGGCATAATTCTTCTCTTACAGCTTACTTCCTTGGGTTCTGGAAGAATTAATATATTTTGTGCACTATACAGGCTGCTATGGCAACGAAAGCCCGGTGGACCACATCTAGCCCTGACATACTAGAATGAGAAAGACCAAATTCAGCAGAGACGCAGGGGAGCAAACACACATGCTTGTTGCTGGTGGCATTGCAAATTGGCTCGGCCTCTCAGAAGAGAAACTGGCAGCATGTTGCCAGAGATACTCAACTGTTTGTCCCTTTGGACTTACTGATTCCACTTTGGGAAATACTACATCCTAATGAAATTATACCTGCTCCTTCCCCCTTGCTCCAAAAAAGACATTTACAAGATTATTCAAAATAAAGAAGTGAAAAACCTATACATCTTTAAAGGGACTGGGGCACCTTAACACAAAAAGATGAGGAAAAAATGACGGGTGGATGGCCCCTGTGGATGTGTTCCTATGTGAAAGTGTGTGCAGTCTTCTTCCCTGGGATATGGGAATAATGAGGATGTGCCAGGAGTTAATGGGGTTGTTGTATGAAGAGCACCTAGAACAGTGCCTGGCACATTGGAAACACTCACTAAATGTCACTCATGGTAATGATGATGATGATGTCACCCAAAGTGAAAGGACTAAAAGCAGGGTAGAAAGCAGCACGTACTATTGGTTAGAACAATGATATCAGATACTCATCATTTCTGGGCTAGAATCCAGAGGGATGGGATGATTTAGTGTCTGTAGTTTCCTTCTGTTCCCCCCACTTTGAGATACAATTGACCTAGACCACGGTGCCACTTTAAAGCGCAGAGCATGTTGCTTTGATACACTTATATATGCCATATGGTCACCACTGTGGTGTTAGCTAAAACACCCGTCATGTCTCATAATTACCATTTCCTTTTTGTGGTGCGAACATTTAAGATCTACTCTCTTGGCAACTTTCAAGTATATAGTTCAGTATTTTTTTCTTTTTTATTGAATTTATTGGGGTGACATTGGTTAATAAGATTATATAGGTTTCAGGTGTACAATTCTATAATACATCACCTGTATGTTTATCACCCCAAGTCAAGTCTCCTTCCATCATTTATTCCCCTTATACCCTATTCTCCCTCCCCCCCCACTGCCTTTTCCCTCTACTAATCACCATACTGTTGCCTGTGTCTATGAGTTGTTGTTTTTTTCTGCTTAATCCTTTCAAGGATTTTCACCCAGCACCGCCCACCCTCCACAGCTATCAGTCTGTTCTCTGTGTCTAAGAGTCTGTTTCTGTTTTGCTTGTTAGTTTATCTTGTTCATTAGATTCCACACATAAGTGAAATCATATGGCACTTGTCTTTCTCTGATGTATTATTATCTATAATCACCATGCTGTGCATTAATTCCACAGAACTTACTCATCTTCCAACTGGAAGTTTGTACTTTCTGACCAACACCTCCCCATTTCCCATCTCCCAGTAACCACCATTCCACTCTCTCTTTCTATGAGTGCCATAGGTTCCTTTTCCCCTTAAGTTCATAATAGATCGAAAAAGAAATGAATGAACAAGTATCTCCAAAACAAACTGGCACTTGCTCTGAAGACAAGTTTAGTGATTTCTGTGAAATAATTCTCTGGATGCACGGCCACTGATTAACTTCTAAGTAAACCAACAGGCCCCAGAGGCCCGGGAGGGCTGGAAGACCAGCCCTGCTGGCTGAGCAGCTGAACTGCCTGCACGTCGCCCAGGACTAACCGAGGTCCAGCTGAAGTCCCAGATTCTGCCCATTCCACCACGCTGCACAACACTCTGTGGCTTCCCCAAATGAGAGGTTTCACCCAACTTGCCACATGCTTCCTGTGTAATTCAGAGGCTGAACACGTCCCTGGTAATGATTCTATTTCTAACCCAGTGGGCAGAACGACCTCATATTCTCGACAGAGGTCTGCCTTGAGCCTGCAGGATAAGATGTGCATCAAATATACCAGGATACTAGGGAATTCCACATGGAATTTAATTGGGGCCCTTTGAGAGGGGGGTGGGGAAGGGGGAGGGGGCGCGACGCTGGCATTTAAAAAGCAGGCCTTGGTCCAAGGATACCTTCTTCTCCCGACTCGATCACTGGTGGCCCCCGTCAGCATTCGCCCCTTTTCACCCATTACCATGCTGCCCTGGGCTGAGGTCCTTCCCTAGTGCAGAACCTTCCAACGGCTTCACTTTGCACTTAGATTATTATCTAAATTCCTCATCCTGGACGGCTCTTCCCTTCCCCCTTCACTACCTAAATCCTGTTCATCTGTCAGGTCTCAGTGTGTGTCACTTCCTCAGGGAAATGTCCTTGGTCTAGGCTAGAACTGTCAGTTAAACATTCATCCTTCACTTTTGCGTCACACTCAATGCTCATGTAATTACTTGCCCCATATTCATTTCCCCCACGGGATTCGGAATTCTAGGCAAGCAGCTGTGCCTGAATCAAGCCCCCTGTCCTTACCCAGTACCAGGCACATAAATATTTGTTGGATGTTTGGCCATATAAATGAGTAAGTGAATGAATAGTGAATGAATGAATAAACACTGAAGGGAGAAGACCAAAGGGCTTAGTCCCTCCCAAATTAATGACGAATCTGGAATTTCAGCATTAAGCAGGGAAGGTGTGATGGGGAGGACATTATCGGGAAAGTCTCTGAAATCACACCACGTCGATGACTTCGGGAAACGTCACGGACTTCTGCAACAAGCAGAGTGCACCCACGGCAGCCTGCAGGCTCCCCAATGCCCCAAGAACACTTACCTGCACTCTCTGTGTGGTTCTTAGTAGCTGGTGTTTTCATCATCTTCTCGCTGAATAAAAGAAAAAGAGAGTCAGCTATACAGTTTCCAAAATGCCTTTTTTTTTGCCCCCCTCCATTCATTATTCTAAGCAATGAGCAGCAGGTAGTGATGGTATCAAGCAATGAGGGGATTTTAGCATCAGCACCACGATTGGCCGGGATGGAAAAGGCTTCCCAGGTGTGCACTGACACTGCGGGTGGAAGACAGCAGGTGGGCACTCATGACTTTCAGAGGATGGCGGAGGTGGAGACGTGTGGACGGTGGCTGCAGGCACTGCGCAGTGGTCCATGAAGCCACATGCACTGGGAAGCCCATTTACCCTTCTTGGGCCAAAGGGTTACCTTCGACCAAGAATTACCAGAAGGAAAAAACAAACAAACAAACCATGATTCAGAGAGATGTAACTATTTTCAGCCTTGAAATGATTACAAGAAAAACGGATTTGAATGAGTGAATTATCTTAATGATTAAAGAGAAACAGATGGAATTATTTAATGGGTTTGTTTCTTCTTTTTACCTAGATGCATCTTTGCTATTACTTGTTAGGGGCCCTTTAAAAAGCGCAGACTGAACAAGGCCAGTTAAACTGGCAATCTGTCTCTCCATGGCTTGCATCCTCTCTCTGTAAAACAAGAGAATTGTTTGTTAAAGCTTTATTGACTTGCAGACCGGTTGTCTGGTGAATGATCACCCGAGGGTCATAAAAGGTACCACCTAGTAGGCCAGCAGAGTGCACCCGCCCGGCTCAGAGAACGTGAGGAGCCTGCCAATCCCTGCTGAGCTTGCGTCGTGATGGGAGCTTAATACTAACCCCAAGACTCACTGAGAAGACGCTGTGCAGACCTGAGAGGCCTCCTGCGAAACTGGAAAGTGTCTCCCTCAGAAACAACTCTGCTTGCGTGGAGTGTTCTCGGGCCTTTCTGCCCTGCTTCTGTCATTTTACTTCCGGCACCAGCAGCGTCCTAGGCCAGCTGTGCCAGTGGCTCAGGCCTCTAAGCTGTGCTCCTCAGCTGGGGGACTGATGACCGGTTTTGGCGTCAATGATGGGGATGTGTGTTGTATGTGAGGTAAAACTTGTTTTATCGTCTGAGAGCAACACCAATGACTGTCTCTTAAGACCATGGAAAGATATGGTTGAAATCAATGTCTGACTCTGGGGTGAATGGTGCTCAATCTAATGACACAGGAACTTTAACCTGTGTTAAAGGGCTTCTACAGGATCAAGCAGAAAAACAAATATCCCCAACATGAATGAATAACCCCAACTGTTTATTGTGTACAGATGCCGCACCTGTTCAGGCTCCCTAATGCTTCATCACAATTCGTTTGGCTCAAATTTTTGTACCTCAGACAACGTCCGTTTCACAGAGCTATTACCATTCTTTTCAACACATTAAACAAACAACATCACAAGTGGCTCCCTCTACTGGCAGAAGGCATCACACGTGACTGCAGGCAAATTCAGTTACGTTCACTTGGGAGTTTAAAACAATAAAGACAGGCAGGGGAGGGCAGCTTGAAGAGAGGGGGCACCTTGCCGGCCTTTGTGCCCCATGCGCAGGTGTCCTAGTGTGAGCTTGAGACAGAGAAGGGACCCCACTCTTCACTGCGGTCTCAGTGCCGCCAACCTCTCCCAGTGTAAGCGACAATGCTGCCCGTGCTACACGCTGCATATGCACACACCGTGGCTTTTACATAGCAGCCAACTACTTTATCTGGTACCCAGTGGAAATTGTGGTGGTCTGTTCTTTCCCTGGAAAACAATAACTGGTTAAGTTGGACTTATTGAGAGATGCTATATCTATATCTTAAAATTCATGACAATCAAGCAGACTTTCAAGGGTAGTTTTGTCCATACACAACTTTTTGGCTTTGCATTTTGCCTTTGGAATATAACCCTTATGAAACACGGAGTTTAATTTCACAATTACAAACTTCTGACTTCAGAACTCCATGCATTTTCTTTCGTTTAAAATGGCTGGTCTGTCACAATACTGAGTTTCTTGGATGAAAATCATGCAGTCTAGGCAGTTCATGGTTGTAAACCCACTAAGGAAGAAGAAAGAATTTAAGCATGAATAGTACGATCTCTTTGCTCTGGTAGTGTGGGAAGGAGAAGTCTCGAGCAGTGAGTGGGAACGCATCTCCATCTCCATGCAGCGAGGTTCCAGGTGTGGCAGTGAATGCTGAACCCCTGAGCTGCAAAGCATTTTCAGTCACACCTATGCTCCTGGTCTCCTCTCTGTCATAGCACAGTGCATGTGCCAAAGAGAAAATTTAGGAAGAAGCTACCCTCAAGAAAGCAGGTTAGTAAATACCTAATGGATATCCCATGTTCATCAGACCCAAGTCGCTATGGCGTCTCAGAAATGATTGGCTAGTGGCTGATCATGCTGCCTGCCATGTGGGAGACACAGACTCACACAATGGGCTCTTGGGAAATGAGTGGCTTCCACAAGGACCCGCTGAGTAGCGGGTGACAGCTGTCCAGGGCCCTCGTTCTTCCCACGGTAATGCTGGAAGTCAAACTCATGACCCTCGGAGTCGAGGTACATTCAGAACCACTTCAAGATGTACTCGTTTCCTGCTCTCATCCAATCCTAGGCAAATACAAAGCACTGCTTTCTTCTTTCTTTTTTCTTTTAAAAGCAGCATGACATTTTTAGGGTCTAGACAGCTTTGGTGAGGAAGCGGCTTGAGGGGATCCGTGAAGCTGGAGTGTGGGACAGGAAGGCATGGTCACAACATAACTGCAGACAGAGGACAGCACTACTACGTACGAAATGTAAGAAACAGGTAGGTCTATGACTGTAGAGAATAAATGAGAATCTGGTAAGAGGGAAATGGCAGAAGAAGGGATTCAACATTGGCTCTAGGCACAGCCCTGATGAGGGCTAAATCACTGTTCTTTCTGAACCCTCACTGGCCAACAGGTTTCATGACCTTGTCTAAGAAAGGTCAGCGTAGCATTAAAAACCAAAACAAAGCACCTGGGCCATTCCAGATTCAGGGCATTGATCTGCAACTGATCCATCACAGCGATTGGAATCGCACAATGTTACAGCACAGGCGGGGTGGTCTCCACACAAGCGTCCATAGAGTGGCATTTCCTTGGCTCAGCAGGTACTTGGCTCTTTGCTGCACTTCCCCAGACAATGGTTTTAGGATGCAGAGGAAGACAACCCACAAATCCACACCCCTCTTCTTACTCCTCAGGGATCACATAGTTACAGAGCTTCCTGGGGTCAGGGTCTGGATGCTTTGAAGGAAAGGCCCTAGACTCAGGCCTGGTATCACACCCTTGGTTCTGCTATTTGTATCTGTGAGGCTAGAAGAAAGTGCTCCCTGGGTGGCCTCCTCTGTGCTATGCCACCAGCTGGGCCCCAGAAGGAAGACAGGATCTTTCAGAGCCTCCAGTTCAGAACACTTGAGCTGACACCTGAGGGGAGCAATTCTCTCCCATTGCCCAGGAAACGGTGGGTCCTGCACGTGGCCGAGGCGCTGACTGCACACGCGTGTTCCACTGCCTCGGCCAAAACCACATTACAAAAATACAATTTTTCGACACATGGAAATGAGAAAACTTTTCCCCTCCTATTTAATCATCAAAGTGTTTCTGGTTTCAGGATTCATTTGAGGGAGATTATCTGATTTATAAATTCATAAATAAGATTGTCTTTCCATTTCATGGTTGGTAATCTGGAAACAATTTTATGGTTTAACTAAATTACAGCAACTGGAAACTTATGCAGCCTTTGCCCATGATGAAATGTTATGAAGTATGTTTTAATGTGGAAGGGGGAAAAAGTGAAATGCAGTGAAAGAAGAGAAATTATATATGACCCTCTCATTTTATTGCAGGGACAATTTTGTATAATAATCATCAAAATATTAAAGATGCTTAAGCTAATTCTTGCCAATATCGCTTGGTTTAAGGTATTACACGATTGGTATAATTACTGTTGAAAAATGGTTTAAAAGTGATTTCATAAACCATTTTCTATCATTCCATAAACCATATTTATGGGATTAGTATATATGGTTAACTAGTCATTTAGCACAGTAAGTCAGCCTGGATGAATGAATGTTTTCAGGGCCCAACCATAATATTAATAAAAACTCAAGTCCAAATCCAGGGAAAGTGCTGATCCCAGTATTGAAATTCCTGCTGCGACAATGGGCTTTCCTGCAAGCACCTGTCTGTGAAGACATAGCAAAGCCTACACTGCTCACAGTCTGCTTTGTCTTCAGAGTAGAGGGACGGGAAAATGTGCATTTGAGGGAATATTTTTAGTCAGCAACTCCATTTATACAACGTTTTTGATTCAAGTTTTCACCTCTAACATTTTTGACCATGGACTTGCCTTTGTTCTGAGCCCTCATTACTGAGTTAAGTCCTTATCATTGCCTATCTGAGTAAATTAATGGCTATTAAAAAACAAGTCAAGGCTGTAACAAGTCTGAGACTGGTAATTCCCCTGTAATGAAGCCCTTAGGCTATGTTTTTAAAGATCCTAGACAAATGCTGGGGATCTCGGTGAAACCAGCCAAGGGAGCTGATAGGATTGCTTAGGCCCCCAGTCAGGGGCATTCTCCTCCCTAACCAGTTACTAACGTTGAAACCTAGTGGTGCAGGACAGCCAGTAACAGTGATTGTAACCAGGGCTGGCATTCTGAGAGTACTTTCTAGGTGGTCCATCAATTCACTTCTAGTTCTAACATTGTCTGATTTGTTTTTGCTCCGGCTCATTCCTCTACCCCCAGAAAGGGACAGTCAATGAGTCCTCAACAAATGTTTTTGAGCACTTAAGTTGTGCTACACGCCATAGTGCAAGCTGCTGTGGACACAGCAGTGATAGAGTACCATCATTAAGCAGTACCTTCCTTTCACAAAGTCATTTTTTTTTCTGGGAGAAATCTCAGTGATTTGAAGCCCAGTGCCAAAGGCATTTCCCAGAACTGAATAGTGAACAGGCTTCAAGTTGTTTGCTCATGCCCTGACTCTCTGGTATGAAGGGAAAAAAACCAAAGTAATTGAAGACACTATTTTCAAATGAGTTCAACAAAACACTGGAATTCAAATGATCTGAACTTGTGATACAGCTTCAAAGAGGACTCTGAGCAGCCAGCTTTCTATTTTTTCCCGCACTCTAACTTATTGGTGAAAGAACTATACACTAAAGACATTCTTCCAAAAACTTCCAACAAATGTTAACTTTTCATTCAAGCATCCAGATGTATTGAGGCAATATTGATGGAGTTGATGGTGACTACAATGGGGCTACAATGTTCTGTGCGCATTAATGTTGTCCCCCTACCACTGCACACCTTTAAAGATAACGACCATATCTTGCACGTTTCCTGCATGTACAAACATTAGATGAGGACTGAATACACACAGGGTCATTAAAAAGTATTGTTTATAACCCTGACCTTGAGGGCTGCTGTTTGTTCCCCTGCCCACTGCTCATGGAGAAGAAAGGAGTTCTATGTTCCCTATTGCCACTTCATCTCCCCGCTTCTGAATTACTCATCTGTACCTTCCCTGGTGCCATTTGAGACCAAGGCTATGATCATCCATGCCCTCCTATTCCCAATCACTATGTACGGATGCAAAAGTTG